AACTTATCAAGAAAATAAATTATTTGTAGTTAAAAAAAGGTCCTTTTTAGGTGATGCTACAGAAATAAAGTATGCAGCACTTACGAATTGTCAACTGCAACAAGTCGGTACAGAATTTTCACGCAAACCTTACGCTATTGCTGTACAAACTGGGCATGTTCTGAAAGACCGGATGTCAAGCGCGTAAACTGTTTTGTTTAAATTTCTTTTGTTCCCTATTACACTGTTTACGTCTTTTCAGCATTCTTGTGCTTTTAAACCAAAGGCGCCTTGAAACGCTTAAAGAAAAATGGTGGAACAATAATCCAAAAAAGGTGAGAAATTTGCTACTAAACATTAAGTTTCTCATAGCACCCTTGGCTAAATGGTTTTCTATCAGAAACATCTTGGATAAGTGGCATTGTTCCATCCACTGCAGGTAGTTGAAGCTGAAATTTAATATTTGCTCAATTTCGTTATCAAACTGTTAAAATAAAATATAATACACAACCGGAATATTTTCCCTACACCTCACTAGTTGATATTTCTGATGTATATAGTAGTAAAAAAACATTCCCTAGTGAATAATTTATCCTTTCAAATGCCTCTCGCTCCCTCTCTTCTTATGGTTTAATCCAATTTATTTTATGTCCTTTTTGAGGTGGTATGTCCCGACACAAACAGCGAAAACGACGGGATATCTATTCAAAATATCGGCGGAGTATTTATCGTTATTCTCGCTGGAATCATCCTATCAGTGATTACCCTCACAATTGAGTACTTCTATTACAGGTTAGGTTATTTGGTCTGACGTATAGAGGTTTAACCTACATAATAGACGGAATTGATTTTAGAAGGAATAATATTCGCATTGGCAGCCATAAGGATGCCAAGGAAGAGAAATCTAATGGGACGAGCACAGAGCCACGTAAGAATTGCACAAGTTCTGAAAGTCGAGAGAATCACACGAGCTCCTTCTGCAACGATAATGGGGGATTCCAGTATTAAAGCATATTCGTACTTAGTTAAGTGTTAAATTGTTATTCCTTCTAATTGAGCTGATCAACTTTGTGTGAATAGAGCCGCTTTGCGATAAATAGTTACAAAAAACTGTTTTCAATGTTCTGTATTAATACTTTGTTGAATTAATCAAAACCAAGCCATGC